AGCGGTGTTGCTCACTAGAAGAGCCCAACGTTACTTGTTTTCCTAGCGGATAAATCATGCGTTATTGAGCTGGCACAGGAATGTGACACAGGGCTAGAAAGAGTTAAAAGGAGCGGTGTACTGCATAGGAAGTGGATTCTGTATAATGACTGAGCAGCCCTTTCTCCGTGTGTGTGGTTCTGTGTTGCTGAGTCTTGTGCTGTTTTCCCCCCAAAGCCCCATTGTTGGACTCAAGAGCCTGCATGCTAATCTCAGCGTTCCTTTTTTAAAAAGTGAGTTTCTAGTCCTCCTGGGTGCAGAAAGAAGCTTGACCTAAGTGCATCCTATAAGCTTGGAAGCCAGAAGACTACTCAGAAGATCCTCCCACATTTAAAAAAAACCTCATTATTTTAAGACATCTCGTGACTCTTTTGGGTTTAACTTATGATTCTTGAATTTCGGGGGTTGGCCAAGCCGCTGGTAGTACCAATGTTTTCCTAAACTCTGTTGATTAGCAGTTAGCACAAGTGAAGAGAAGTTTCTTGGAAGCCTTCATGAGGATACCACCCTATACTATCTACTGCAGGATCCACACCATGCAGACAGTAACTTTGCCCATTGCTCTGGAATCCAGTGGTGTGTTTTCCATGAAGACAGAGAGAGAGACTGCGCCAGAACAGAGACTACACCCTGCCAACACCATAGAAGAAGGGAAATATGTGGGTGCAGTGATTACATTAGAACTTCAATTTTCTCACTCTAGAGGGATCAAGGGATGAATGTTGTGATCTATTATATATCCGGGAGAGTTTGTGAGCAAGCGAGTTTGTCTGTCCGTTGGTTTGTTTGAGAACGCCTCCTAAACGGTAAGAGCTAGGACCACCATTTTTGCTATGCAGCTTCCTCTTATGATTTAAAGCAAAGCAAGGGTTTGGTTGGGGGAGGGGTTGAACCTCCCCCCCTTCCGTTCATACAGGAATGCATAGAAATAACTCCTCCTAAGCAGTAAGAGCTAGAAACACCAAATTTGGTATGCAGCTTCCTCTTAAGGTAACTTCAAGCAAGGTAAGGGTTTGGTTGGGGGGAGGGGGGCTGAAGCACTCCCCCTTCCATGCACACAGGGACACATGAAACCGTACAGAAAAGAGACAGAATTACCAGGCAGGTCAAAGGGGCTGGCTAGGGGCATGTCCCCAATCCAGGACTGCCCCATCCCTGAGTTTCCCAACTCCCCTCCCCCCCCCGACACCCTGCAGCTCCGCCTCCCATTCATATGGGAGCATTTCTATCTGTTCCCCTTCGTCAAGGAGCGAGAGGAAAGTGCACCGTTTGCTCCATTCCTCACTCTGGCTGGGGAGTGCAGGGGCAGATGAACTTGGATCTGCCCCAGCCAGGGTACATGCACCTCTCCTCCATTTGTGCCTGTTGGAGCTGCAGTGGCCATGAAGAGGGAGTGAGGAAGGGTCTAAACATAATGCAGAGTTGGATCTTAAATCTTTGACCTTGGTTTCCTGAAAGAACATTAGAGGGCCTTACTGGGGTTATACCAATGTAAAACTGGAGCTATGCAGTGTTGACGGCTGGACACTGCCCGGCTTTTTACCTCCTGAATCCTTCCAATGTCTACCAATAACTCCCTGCTGGATCTGCAGGGTCAGGCCCAGGTGAGAACAAATGGTTTATTTTAGCATTTCATGAGTCTGCTGTAACTTTAATGGCACACACAAAAACAGTGAACAACTATGATTATTTCTCCCTAATTTTACCATGATGGCTTGATACAAGAAGTTTGGAATGGTGCAATTTGGCACCTGAAATGTACAGATTCATATCACACGTGAAATGTATCTTTTATGAGTTTGGCATAATGCTGTAATTTGAACTCAGAGAGTGTGACTTGCTCCGCTAATGCTGCCAACGAGCTAAAAACATTCGAAAAAGGAGCTTTTGGAGGAGATGTGGCTTTTAAGAATGCCTCATTTGGCGACTAGACTCTTCCTCTTGCAAATCAGTTATCAGTACGCAGCTTGCTGATGGCTTCCCTAGCAAAGTGCTCCGATAAAGTGCTCTAATAATTTTCAATTGCTTTTACTCTGCACATGCCCTGAAACCCCAAACTGCTTCCAAATTCAAAGCTTATTAAAATTTAAATGCTCCTGTAATTTAAACTTGAGTCTGCTCAGTGTTGCTGGAGCTTGTCCATTTATTCCACCACTTCTAGGGGGTAGGGGTGGAAGAAAAAGTCTGTGGATTAGTGCGTCACTCTGGAAGTGAGTGAAACAGCATCACAGCATTGCTGAGCTGATTCTCAACGTATCATAAAACAGGAGGAAGAATGCCTACAAGGGACAGAACCAACAGTGTCATGGATAGAAGAGAATAATATAAAAGGAAGCAAAAGGGCAGAATTCTGAAGAGTGGTCTGGGATCCTAAGAATGGCTTTGTGTATCCTTACTCACCAGTGAGACGTAGCCTCCTCGGGGGTGGAACCCACAGCTCTTTAACAACGCACTGAACATTAGCCAAAACACATACAGAACCATTGCACCTGTACAGTGATTTAGGACAGGAACTGAAGGCAACTGTCATACCCAATTGAAACTGCAGAGGACACGTAGGGAAACAGAATGCAACGATCTGGGAACTAATTTGGTCATCTATCATGAAAAGTGCCACACGATTGGCAGCAATGTGCCATTAAGTTTTTACTACTTAGCAAGGAGGTTGGGGCTATGGGATTAACATATAATGAGTTCTTTCCTTGTAGCTTATTGAACAGACCATGAGTCTGCAAAGCCCACTAAAAACTCCATACATGAGACAGATTAGACCAGTGGTTCTCAACTGTTTTTGGACCAGGACTCATTTCTAAACATGGATGGCCAGTCCCGATGCTGTAATACCTTACGTACAAAATACTCAGGTATTCTGGCCCCAGAACATTTACTACAGTCTATGCGGCGCTATCAATTCCTGCCAGCGATCCTGCCATGGCTATAGTCTCCCTCTGCCTTTATTCCTCACCCATGGCTTGGTGCTCTACACAGCATCTTCAGCAGCAGGGTATCAACCTGTAGTGGATTCAGACCTGGAGCCTCTGCCCCCTTATCGCTCTGCTGGGCACTGTGGCTGGTTGCCCCTGAGTTGCTCATTGTGCTGCCTTTTCAGGAAAGGCCGAAGGTAGCATGCCCAGCCCCCAGCGAGCCACCCCCCTGGCAATACCAGCAGGGCCAGAATAGGCATGGCCAACCCCAGCCTCACTGCAAGCACCCGGTGCCCTGGGCAAGTTTGCATGGGCACACACAGGGCACCAGGGGCCCTGTTCTTGTGGAACTCCAGGAGTGCTGGTTGCAAAAGTGCCTCACACATGCTCTCTCTTCCTTTCCGCAGTTCCCCCAGGACTCTTGTATCTGCCACTGTTTTGCAAGGCAGAAATAAGCCCCCTTCCTACCCTCCAGGGCTTCCCTGCGTCAGGGGCTGCTTGGGCGTGTCCTCCCGCACGTCTGAGTGCAGTGTATGGACACCCCATTGCATGGGCCTTTTGCACGAGGCAAGGGCGCAGAACGTTGCTGGGGCTGGGCAGGGGATTCCTCCTGTCTGGCTGCGCTTGCTTTCCTCACTTGCAAATCTCCATCCCCTGCTCTCCTCATCCCCTCCCCGCACCCACTCCCAGGAGCTGCCCCACATCCTTGGGGTTGCTCACTCTCTAATTGCTGAAATCCAAACATCCTTGCCCTGCCCCGGCCCCCTGAGGCCGTCCCCCACTCCCACTCCCACCCGCTGCTCCCTCTCCTCGGTTGCACCTGCTGCTTTCTGAGCCAGCCTGGGAGGAGCTGATGTGGAGTCTGCCCATTGGGGCCCAGCGGGGAAGAGAAATTGGTCTCCAGAGTCAGGGGCCAGGGCATTGGTGGGTGCCGGTTCCTACAGCAAGGGGCCAAAGTCAGGGCAATTGAGGGGGAAATAGGATTCTGTTTCCCCTTCCCCCTGCAGTGGCACTTACCTCTTGATGCCCCGTCAGGAAGCCAAGCGCTGCTCTCGGTCGGGCATCAGCAGCTGAGCAGAGAAGAGCTCTCGCCGGGCCCTCCGCTGGGGGCGCAAAGGGGACAACTGTCCCACAGCCTGGCCATTCAAAGGGGGCCAGGGCTTGGGCCCTTTAACTCACTGCTGGAGCATCACCCCATGCGCTCTGGGCAGCGCTAAGGGGGACCCAGCGACATGCTTCCAGCCCTGCCCCTTCGACCTGAGGCTCTGCCCCTTACACACACACACACACACACACACACACACACACACACACACACACACACACACACACACACCCCTTGTCCAGAGGCCTGTGGAGGCTGTTGCTCCTCCCACCTGCAGGGGTAGAGGCCAGTTATTACCCCGCTTCTTCCCCCCGATACAATTGGACTTGTGACTGTCAGATTCCCTGTTCGACCAGACATTCCAGCCAAACCCCAGTCACCTGGCAACCCTACATATCCACAGCAGGCCCCGTGCGAGGTAGCTGGGTACTTGCCGAGGCCTCCATGCATGGCAGAAATAAGCAGGCAGGCCTATAGGTCCTGACACGTCCCTTCCCAAGGCAGTCAGCTGAAGCCATGAACTGCAAGACCCCCACTCCCCAGTGCCATCTTTCCCATAAGTCTTTGCATGTTGCATTTCACTGGCTAATCGATGGCACCTGCATGTTCAAATAACTTCATTGGTGTGCACGGTATTAACATACGGCGAAGCATAAGAGGCATCTAATTTTAAAAGTTGTACGCAAAATGTGATCTATTTTTAAAGTTTGCAGCCCTCTCAGACATTCTGGGTCATGACCCATGGACTGAGAAACATTGGACTAGACAGACAGCCTGGCTGATGACAGAAACCGCCTAATAATCATTCCACCAAATTGTTCTTCCGTAAATTCCAGCCTGTTCTTCCAAATGCCTGCAGAAATGAGCTGTGTCATTTCAGAATCCAGTGTACGCGCTTCCCTCTGCTGCTAAATATGCATTTAAAATCACAGAAAATAATTTCCTGGCTAGAAAAGGTGGGCAGATTTATAATGACTTGGTATTTATTTGTAAGAGTGTCTTTCTGAGGGGAGCTTTCCCAGGCAATTTTATACACATTTTCAGATCCCGTATTTGAGGAAAGGGGGCTATTTTGCCAAGAAAGATACATTTCAAGTTAGAGGTCAGAATGCAAACCCTCCCTCCCTGTCTCCGCACTCTTGGAACTTTCTTCCTCTTCATGGGTTCCTTTAAAAAAAAAAATCCCGGCCCAACCCACAGTCATGTTATAGCTTTGTTTTCTGAGGAACGAGGCTAAATGCGTTTCCATTACTCGGCATCTCTCCCTTCTCTTCTTTTTCTAGCAGGTCGTCGGGATTCACGCTAACGTAGAAATATCCCATGATGGAGAAAATGATACACACGCCAAAGAGGAGGCCGGCGAACAAGACAAACTCAGCCCACTGGAGAAGAAAAAGAACAGCTACTCTGAGGACCCTGTGCCTAACACAAAGGGCATCACGCTTCATTTTAAAGGGGCTCCGTCAAGGCAGGCTCTAGGCTAGCAGGAGTGCTCCTGATGGATGTCATGAGTGGCTTTCCTTGTAAGACACTTAGAAGCTTGCCTTCCATACACCTTGCTAATTATAAACAGATGGATTATAGATAAAACTAATTGGACTGATCAAATTAGTTTAATTAGAGCTTCTCTTCAGAATCCACCCTTTTCAGTGAAGGGGAACACACGCTTACAGCTTATGGGCTAGGCAAAAATAATTCTGTTCCCACTGTGCTTGAATTTAGGGTTAAAATGTAAGTAGAAATCAACCCAAACCAGAATCTCAGGATGCTGACGGTCTGCATAAACCCATAACCAAATCCAGCCTCAAGCGATACAAACCAAGAGGGGCCCCTGCCCCTTAAGGACCAATGGGGCTCAGTTTGACCAGTGATGACTCAAGATCATCTTTTGAATTTAAGTCAGTCTAGGATATCTCTCAAACCCAAACACCCTTGTCCCACCTCCTTCCCTGCCCCTTCCCCTAGGCTCTGCCTCATCCCTTCTCTGAGGTCCTGCCCAGATCACTCTGTGGAGATGGGGTAAAGGGGTATGGGGAGATGGACACCTTGACATCAGTGCCCCCTTCTCTGCCTCCTCCACCCTGCACAGCAAGCAGGAGGCTCCCAGGCAAGGGCAGGAGAAACACAGCAGTGGTGGGGAAGGTCAATCGAAGTGCCGGCAGTTGATAGTCTCCCCGCCAAACCCATGAGGATCACCTATCAGAGGCTCCAGGACCAACCAGTTGATCCCAACCAGTTGGCGACCGCTGGGCTAGAGATAGCTGCAGCGTGCTTGGCTCAGGCTGCCAGCAGGCGACTGCAAGCAGCAGAGGCAAAAAACGGGGGTTATCTGACTTCTGGGAGGCTATTGCAGCTCAGACCCTCAGCGACAGGCTATACACAGCGTTTGGCACATGCTCCCTGCGGCCTCTGCTCTGGCCTGCAGCGACACCGCTTGTTCTGAACACCACCTATTACTGAACAATTAATAACAGGGCAGCCTCAGCTCATCTCTAATTTGAACCACCTGCTTTGCGGGGCCACAGAGACACCCCCCCCACACACACCCGCTCCCACTGCAGCCAGGCTGGGAGTGCTAGGAAAGAAAATAATGCGGTTCTAAATCTCCCCTTGCTTTGCTAGCAGAAAGCCGGCCTGTGGGGTTCTGCCAATGTCCTGACCCCGGTTTGGATGCGGTCAGTAATATTCAAAGCCATACCTGCTCCAGCGGCGCTGCTTGGGCAACAATCAGCACAATGACATTTCCAAAGGCCACCGTGAGCAGCCAGCCTGCCTGGAGCACTGATTTCATGCTGACAGGAGCCTGAAAACAACAACACCAAGGCCTGATGAGTGGGTTTTCCTTTGTTTTTGTGTTCGTCTGCTTTCCTTCCCTGTTATTTCCCGGGGTGACAGGTGCATGGCTGGGCGGGTGTTCTACAGAAAGGGAGAGAGGACTAAGGTAGGTGGAATTTTCCACTCTACTTTGGCCACTTTCTGCCAGTCCCATGAGTGCAAGGTGGTGTTAAGGGTCTGCACGCTTAATTGTTCCTGATTCCTCCAAGTAGAGCATATCCCTCATCCAACACAGTGCCCAAGTCCGAGCCCGGGGGCTTTCCAGGACAGAGTGAGTGGGGATAAAGGAGACATGCCTGGGGAAGACCTGCACCCCAGCTAGCCCCACTGCTGAGAGCCTCAGAGATTCAGACATGTTAAGGCCGGAAACGATCAGGCGGGCTGACCCCTGCATAGCCCAGGCATAGACTTCAACCCAGTGAGTTCAACTGCTCTAGCCCAACACCTTGTGGTTGAATTGGAGCATCTCAGATAGAAAGAGACTCTGTCATGACTGAAAGTCTCCCAACGCATGGAGAAGTTCCTATGTCCCATTGTAAATTGTCTCAACTGCTCATTATCTTCATGGATAAAAAGGTGAACTGTATTCCCAGCATGAGCAGATATACAGCACAGGGGGCCAGTTTTCTCACTTCAACTTCCAGATAACTGGACCTTCTTATGTCTTCGTCTGCTAGATTAGCCTTTTTGTAGCAGATACCTACTCTCCAGATAGGCACCGTCAGACCATGCTCAAGCTGCCTTTTGCCTTTGTAACCCACATGCCTACAGATCCATGTAGTGGCACTTAGACCACTTACAGAGACAGACTGAGCCTGCTCTACAGCTTTAGTGCAGAGCCAGCTCATTTGTAGCTCAAGCTACAGAGGCCCATGCACTGAAGTCCCAGGTTCAGTTCTACCTGTCGGCATTATACTGTCTCTCCACTAAGCGTGTCTGAGCTCCATTACTCACGCATTGCAAGGCAAGTTTTCTTGTAACACTTTCCTGAACCCTAATTTTCAACATCCTTTTTAATGTGTGGACTCTAAAACTGGCCCCCTGTGCAGTAGAGAGGCTGTATATCTGCTCATTCCTACTCAATATTCCACTATTTATATATCCCAGGACCACCCACATTTCTCTAGCATGAATCAGATTGAAAACACAGGAAAGAGTTCAAAAGTAAGTGTTTAGAGCCCAAATCTCCCTTCCATGGCACCTATATAGCCCCGATGACTGCAGTGGGCATGCACAGCTGTACATGCAATAGGTCTACATATTGGTAGCAGCAAGGGCTTATGTCACTTCTAACAACTGATCAAACTATCTGCTGGTGTTCATTAGAGTCACTAGAGCAGCAATAGACAACCAAGACTAGTGAGTGGGCCGCATGAGTTCGCTCCTTTGTCTCTGCGGGCTGCAAGATTGAAACCCAGTAGTGGGTTACCTGTGGTTCATACAGCCCATTTGGGTTTCACCTGTGGGTGGCCCCACCCAGCCTCTCTCTGTGCCCTGCCCCCACACCTCTTGCACATGGAGGCACTGGAGCCCCACACTTACTACTCCTCCCCCTCCCTCCCAGCACTTTCGGAGTGCCATGAATCAGCTGATTCACGGCATTCAACCTTTGGGAGGGAGGGGGAGAAGTTGGGGCAGAGCATAAATCAGGTGATTCATGGCACTCCGGAAGTACTGGGAGGGAGGGGGAGGAATAAGTAAGTGTGGGGCTCCAGTGCCCCAGTGTGCGAGAGGGGGCAGAGAGGGGCTGCACAGTCCGCAGGTTGCTCACCACTGCAATAGAGCTTTACCAACTCACACCAGCAGGGAATGGAGCCATTCCTATTACCTTTTGGCTGCTGTCTTTACAAAATATGCACCCCAAAAATGCAAAGAGGAAAATCTTCTTGGGGCAGACTGATGCCATGGCATTCAGATCCTTCTCCTTAAAACACAACTGTCCCAAATTCTGCTTGTTGTTTCAGTCCTTACTTGACAAGGGGTTGGCTTGGTAGAATTTAAAGCAGAATTTGGACCATGTAAGGTAACCAATTCCCCCAAATCTGCCTCACACTCCCGATTTCTTATAACTGCAATCCAGTAATATTTTACTCTCCTAAAACATGCTTCAAAGATCTCAAGGCACTTTCAATGCTTGACTGAATTTAGCTTCACACTCCTTCTCTGAGAGAGGAACACTGCTAGCCCCCTTTTAAACTGAAGCACAGCAATGTTACCTCTAAGGCCATGTCTACACTAGGAAATTATTTCAAAATAACTACATTCATAGTAATAACTCCCGAAATAACTATTTTAAAATAAATGTTATTCCCCGAATAAAGCAGGAGTGCGGTTTTTGAAATAACCAGCCGATTATTTTGAAATAGCGGGCTTGATAGTGTCAGCGTGCCACCTGTTATTTCGAAATAAGGGCGGGCTATTTCGAAATAACTCCCCAGTATAGACCATGGCTAAGTGTCATGCACAAGGTATTGGAACAAGTCAGTGACAGAGACAAGAATAACTATAAACCGCATGGCCAATACTCATGGATTCTAAACTACAAGCCATCAGACCCCAAGTATAATACCTGAGAATAAGAGAATGCCAGTCCCGTAATAGAGAACATCACTTCCCCGGCAGATATTAACATGTACTGTGGCAGCTGCCAAGCAATGTGGACATTGTTGGCATGGATATCTTCTGTCTTCCATGCTTGAGAACTGGTTGTCTAACGGGGGAAATAGAAAATCACAGTGATTAGCTGTTGAAGTTCATTGGCTGCCATGCACAATTTACCAAAAGTGGAGTTTCCTTTAAAAAGTGAAGCAAAATTCTGCCCATACATTCACTAGGTGGATCTGTATTCTTCCACCCTACTAGCAAAATCCTGGGCAAGTCTGGAACACCGTTCCCTCTAAGCTGCGAGGCAGCAAAGCTTCACAGGTGATTGATCGGCCCCGCACAGTCAGTCAGCTCCATGCATGAAGCTCTGAGCCTCCGACTGCCTGATTAATCACGGGTAGGCTGCTGAGCAGTTTAGAGGGAACACTGGTCTGGAGAGTGAACACTGGTCTGGAGATGATCCACTGCACTAATCCAAGAGAGGATTGTTGTTCTAAACCTCTGCCAGATGGATCCATACAGTTTCTTGTAAAGTCATGTATAATGCTTTTATTTTGTTTCCCTAGATTTCCATCAGATTTGCTCTGATTCGGAGAACGATTTGAGTGGTAGCCAAGAAAACATTGGGCTACACTGACTTACAGTCAGCAGCAAACTCTGCTATTAGGAAGAATATTATGTAGAAAATAAATGTGTGGAAGATGCACTTACTTACCCTAAAGGGCGGCAAATCAAGACAGTGTAGTTTACAAAAGTTACAAGAGAAGTGTAGAAATTCTGTGCATCACTCGCTGGATCCCAAAGAAATGTCACTAACACCTTACAATAACTGGAAGTTGATGAAAGCCAGATGGAGACAGCATCCCTAGTGATGTACATCTTACAGTTCAGCCGCGCTAACAAGCTGTGTGCTAAGTGCAGTTTTATTTATTTATATAGCACCCATCACAGTGGAGCCGAGTGCTGGGCCATTCATAGTAATAATCAGAACTGAGCTGGGCCTGGAGAGAAATGGCCCAATAGGGAGGAGATGGTAAAATGGAGAGGTCAGGAAGTTCAAAGGTGACCTAGTCAGATGGGATGGCCTTGCATGGAGCTTTCAGAGACAGCCGCAGCAGGACTCTAGAGCTCTACACATGGAGTCCCTGTACTGCAAATGCCCTGCTGCATCCCCATCTACGTGGGGACAGAGCAATGCAGATTAATTTGGACAGCCCAGAAAGGACAGAGTGGGAGGGGTACTCAGGTAACTTCTGGAGGGTCTCATATAGCAGGAGAACAACCTTGAGCTGAATCCACTGTCTGACCTGGTGCCGCTGCCAGGTGTTACTCGTTCCCTTACTCTGATAGGTGGCAGCTAACAAGTGGGCCAAATCCCAAAGCCTCCATTTGGTCATTACTCAGGTTAAACTCCCTTTTGAAGAAACTAAGTGAAGATGCCAGAGTTGCCCCAGTTGGTTTGGTCACGACTGGCCTTCTCTCCAGCTGCCTGTGGCACCTCTCAGAACCTATTTAGCTGGAGAGCTGCTGGAAATCTCGGAGCTAGTTCATGATTTTTATACATTGATACAATATCGGCCAATCACTGTGGGGATGAACCAAACGGAAACGAACATTCTTGATTTTCAGTGTCCAAGCTGAAAGAAATGCTAGGGGGGAAAGTAAGCAAAGAGAAAAAACAAGCAAGGGGCTCGGGAAACTGTTGCATTTTTTGTAAAGTAAAAGGGTGGTGTTAATAACGTGGGTCAAAAAATCTGTTTGTTTACAGCACAGGGATTTTTTGTTAGTAATTCCTCAGGGCAGGATCAAGCACTGTCTAGATCAGCGGTGCACAACCTGTGGGGGTTGCAGCTGCTTTCCTGAGGAGTTGCAGAGCTTGAATCTGGCCAGCCACTTTTCCTGGCTTCTCGGCTCAGTGTCTGATGTAGGACACAGGCAGGAGAGCGATCGCGGCCTGACAATTAAAGGGTCCGCTTCCTTTTTCTTTTTTTTTTTTTTTGCGCTCCACCAAATCACCAAATTCGGCAGCCCCATGAGGGTCGCAAATGAGAAAAGCTTGCGCACCACTGGTCTAGATCATTCCTGACAGGTATCTGTCCACCTTGTTCGTAAATAAGGAAGTAAACAAAAAAAATAGCCACATTTGACTTCTGTTCTTCAGTGCTGTAGATTTGTGGGAATGCATGGAAACGGTCTGTGTGCAATCCCTTTTACAAAATAAGAATCCCACCATGCACATTTTAAAATTAAAAGTAAATGTAGGGAGGGGCGTTTAAGAGATCCGCGGAGTGCTCAGTTGCCCCCACGTCAAATTGTTAATGTCACCTCCTGTACAAAGGGTTCTCTAAGCAAAACAAACAAATGTAAAGTCCCTTTCTCAGGGGACAATTCCTGTTCTGTTCAGTCCCTCTGGGACTCCTGGCATTGGCCACTGTCAGAAGACAGGACACTGGGATAGATGGATAGTTTGTCTGACTCACTCTGGCCGTTCTTATGTTCTTTCTTCCTTATGAGATGGGACTCCTGGGGAAAGAAAAGGCGGGCACAGGGGGCCTGTCTCTTAGGCAGTCTTTACTGAGTCGGCCCTTTGGTCTTGGGTTTTCTATGGCCCTTAACAAAAGTCTACCTCCAACCCCTACCCTTGGGCACTCTGCTCTACCGCTGGCCCATGCAGTCTCAAGGGCTTCAGTGTCCTTCTTGGCTCATCTCTCTCTGTGGTGAGTAGCCTCTGAATGTTCAGAGCCCCCTTCCTGTGGCACGTTTTCTCTTTTTAAATGCCTTACAGGTGTGCCCCATTAGGGCTAATTAGTTTCCTCTCCACTGGCCAGGGGTGTGTCTGTGCCCCTGCACAGTAAGGGTAGTTTATGTTCAGTATCCTCATCTCAGAAGAACAACATCTACCCTAAAAATAACAGGTTGGGTCCGAACTAGTTGCAAATCAGTGTCACTCCGTCCAAGTCAATGCAACTGCACCCGTTTGCACAGTTGCTTATCTGGCCCAAGATATCACAATGAATCTGTGACTGCTTAGGACTACCCAGATGTTATTCCTCTGCGTAGCACTGACCAAATCCTCATGCCACCAAAGCACAGACCTCTAACACTTGCAAGGAAGGCGAAACTCCATTTGCTGTCTGGACCTATGGTATGTAGCAGAACAGTCCTGATTCCACCCAGCAGAGGGCAGCATTACACATCGGTAGGACTCTGCTGGTTCCATCGTGATTATTGACACTATACGCTTTCACTTAATCAAACTACTGATAACACGCACTGCAGAGATAAGAAAAATATCCCATCACAGAGGATAAGTAAGTGGGCCAAGAGCCAGCCGCTGATTTGCAGAACCGGAGCGAAGTTGTTGAGGTAACTAAAATTGTAAAAGTCATCCGAGCAAAACGATACCATTCAGATGATGCTGTTACTTATTGAGGCAAATGCAGATAGGAGTCACTTGGCATATCAAAGATGAATGCATAACGTATGGAATGCTTGGAGTTCAGAGATCAACTTAAGAGTATATTCTCAAGGACTTAGAGAAGGTGACTCCAGATAGCATCTATGGGTTAGCCACATAATCTTTGTTCATAAAGATAACAGAATATGTCTAATCCCTTTAGGATTCTACGCCCCATTCTAGCAGCGGCGGGTTATTTTGTGGCTGCAGGTTTTTTTCCTGACGTCATTGGGCTTTCCAGACATGGACATATCCTATTAATTATCCAATAGGGAGACTTTATTACCAGGGAGTAACTAACACACTTTACAATCTGAATCACAAAAGAACAGAGCTGAACAGTGTGTCCTGTCAGACCTGGTTTATCTGTATGGCTGTGCACTGGAAAGGCCTAAATGGTAACTAATCTAATCCCATTTATATGCTTAGCCTTTGCCAGCCAGAAATATTTGCCAGTAACAGAAGATCTGAGCAGTGGCAATTGGTCAAAAGAATCTGCATATCTCAGAGGGCATTCAAACCCCTGCCAGGACTGGTTTATTCATGAAACCCTTCTTTTCCATTACTCTTAACCAGCCATGTATAAAGGCTTTCCTTGGTTACAGCCCAGATTTACTGCCTAGACCCCAGCTGAGGACTGGAAGGACAGAGACAGGTTTTTTTCAACCTTACTCATAGTTTTGCACTATCTAAAATCCACAAAACACATTCTAATGGCCTAAAAATTGGTAGGTTAGGTCTAGGGACATGGTAGAATCTTTCAGCCAAGTGATGCAGTCAAGGGGGTTCCGATAGGATAGTATTTTCAGTGACCACAAATAGAAAAGACTAGAACAGCTCTTCCAAAATATGATATTCTCCTAAGCACATGCTGGTCCAGTATTAACTCAGAGCAAACAACATCGTTTGTGAAATAGCAAAGAGCAATTCATGGATCACATGGTTTTCCTGGGAGGATTTCCATCCTATGTGCTAGCCAGACCTTACCCTTTGTAAAGATCTGACAAGATGACAGCTTATGATGGGTACCAAAACATCTTCCTTAAACTCCCATTGAACCTATATGACTTTAAATGGCTGTTCCCCCATTTCTGCCAGGGCAAAGGAATAGTTGCCAATGCAAGAGTAAGAGCGCTGACACAGAGGCGCTGAATGTGGAATGGAAACAGCATGTTGACATCAACTGGTAACTTACTTCATTTATAAGGACGGTGTACGATGCTCCGAAGTCAAGCAGGCCTAGGTCCAGGGAGAATTCCTTAGTTCCAGTTTTGCATCTTACTTTGTAGCTTGATACAAGGAGAAAGTACAGTATTGACCAGTTAGCTTCATATACAGAGCGTACAGAACACAGCCATTAAATATACTCCTAAAATGGACTAGGGGGTTGAATAGCCTGTAGCTGTAGTCATATAAATCTCCTTGGGCAGCTAGACTTTTTCCTATTGCTTTGAGTTCCCCTCCTTTTAGGACCACTTCATGGATATTGATTAAATTCATCTTATGGTACATTGAATTCCTGGCATTTTTTAATGATTTCTGCTTCCACCCGGCACTGATCTCCTTATTTCCTAGGTTAATTTTTTTCCAAATTAAGTCCCGTTCCTCCAACATTTGTGGACCAGACAGTTCCAAAGGACCCAGTGAGTCTTCAGCTCTCTTAAGAAAATGAGCTCTCCTCCTCCCCTATCTAGTTGCCCATTTGCTTTCAAAAGTACAAGATTTGCGTATTTCAGCAATAACATTCTTGGGCAGGGGCGCTTAGGAGGGGGAAGTTGTGCAAACTTTTTTGAACCTTACAGGTGCCAGAGTGATGGGCACCCCAAAAATATCAGGATATTTAGTTCAGACAGTGTTGCCAGGCCTGAAGTCCAGCAGAGACAGGCTGAAATACCAGCATGGCATCTCCCACCCAGGTTCCAACACTACCTGGTGTAGACCCTGAATGGCTACAGTGCCGTGACCTCAGTGCTGATTATAGCTTGAACCCCACAGAGAATCATGCTTGTTATCGTTGCTCTGGCTGGGGCATGATGCAGGGCTCTCCCGTCTTCCCGTTCCTCTCCCTACAGCTCCCCTACCTCCATCAAATCACACGCTGTTTCCAGACATCTTGCCCTTTCGCTCCCCCTACATTGCCCAGATGACACAGAATAAGAATCTGGGGCAAGTGGGAGAAAGTCACACAATGTCTTTTTCACACATTCCAAGGGGTTTGCACAACCCCTCAGCTTCACTTTACCTGCACCTGATAATACCTAAAATAAGATACGGGGTCAAACTGTCATGTCTTCACTCGGGTAATGGAAGTCCTAATTATTTTAGAATTTGCCCCCTCACTGTATCTTGTCCCAAGCAGTAACAACCCTGGAGAGAGCGCTAGTCTTGGCATTGACCAGATGGTGAATGAATCAGACTCTGGATCTCACAAAGGGACCTTGGTCTGCTGGACACCTTGTGGAGTAACCGCACCACTTCCCTCTGCATCTAAACAAACGGGACAAGGTTCTGGTTCTGCTCTCCACTTGGCCAATGCTTCTGTTCTTACACACGTAGTGAGCAAATGGCGAGATAGTGGGTAAAGGACCTTTGTGTTAGCCCGAGAAAAGCCCCTCCCCACCAGACCGAAAGGACTTTAGATGTAGCCCAGTTAAGGAATCTTACTTTCCCCTCTCTACGGTTGTGTAATGTGAAACACTGTAGTTCTTTGTCACACTGATGATCTGCTCTGTGTCAAAGGTGACATTGACATCTTGGTCCAAAGCATTAATGAATCTGCAAAGAAGCCATATTTTATTATGGTGTCATATGAATCCAGAGAAATACAGCAGTAGATATTTTACATGAGCTACTCATTCTCTCCTAATGCGCTTTAGCTCTTAATTGTTGTGGCCTGCCAGATGCTTTTAAGCCTGCGCTATTGCCCACCTGTTCATTCTACAATGACTGTTTCCCACTCTCATACAATTTAACCCCTTATTTTCCCCAGAGTGGTTTGTTACCGCACCCCCTTTCTGCCCTATGACTCAGGTGTTGGAACTTGCAAACAATCTCTGCTGAGACACTTTCATAGACTGACAGGCACGTCTGCTTCGAGAGGAAGGAGATTTGTCTTCTTCCAAGGAAACAAGGCCTTATCTGCACTAGAAAGGGTTTACCAGTGCAGCTGTACTGCCAAGCCCTCCACATAGACATGTGGTTCGTGCTGGCAGTGCATTTGTCTGGATAGTGTATACCAATTTGGAGAGAAATACATTATACTGGCCATGTTTTTGCCAGTGTAATGGGATAGCTGTGTTTTTGCCTGCATTTCTATGAGAGTCACAAACAGAGTTCCCTGTAAGCTATGTGCTTGTGCAGCTGTTCAAGAGAAATTTGAATGCCACCCAGCTGATTAGCAGAGTGCCCACAGCTGGGTTTTCTATAGGTGGAGCACATTCGCACATGCCTTGGTGCACATAAAATTTATTCTGCCCATCGATGGAAAAGATTACAGGGAACATTGGCCTGGAGTGTGATTGTTTTCTCCCACACTCCTAACAGAAATAATTATTATGGAAAACAATTAAGTACAAACCAGGCCTAACCATTAGAGCTGGTTAAAAAAAAAGTTTAAACAAAAAATGGCTTTTTCAGCTACATGGAATTTTCCATAGCAAGGTCCGTTTCAATATAATATTTAGGAGTGTTCATCAAAAAAATCAATGTTATTTCAGCTGCCAAAAACTGAACAATTTTAGGTGGCCAGGAGAAAATTTTCAGTAAAAGCAAAGATGTTTGCCTAATTTGTTGAAATTTTGCTGTTTTCAAGTTGCCAAAAACTGGGGCAGGGAAAACATAAAGGCTACGTCTAGACTACATCCCTTTTTCAGAAAAGGGATGTAAATTAGACGTATCGCAATTGCTAATGAAGCGGGGATTTAAATCTCCCGCGCTTCATTAGCATAAAAATGGCTGCCACTCTTTTCAGCATGGAGCCCTGCCGGAGAAAAGCGCCAGTCTAGACGCTGATCTTGCGGAAAATAAAACCTTTTCCGAAAGATTCCTTATCCCTTATTTCAAACCAAATTTTTTTTCAAAATGTTGAGGGATTTCACTGAAGATAAAATTCAATGAAAATGAAAAGATTTGTGTTTTGTTAGAATTTTCTCCAGGAAAATGATAATTTAAAAAAACCTTCCTCGTTAGCTCTGTTAAGAATATTTTCCTGTGATGTTCAAACTCTACTGACACTCCCACAGAGTTGTTTCAAAAGTGCTACTCGAGTCAGCTAACTCACAAGGCAACAACTAACACTCTCTGTCCGGAGACTGTGTGGGGCCGCAGCCAGAAGGGGCGGGGTGGGGGCAGCCAGCCTCAGCACTGCCCAGAGCAGGCTGCACCCCACATCTTCCAGGCAGCCCTGAGAGTCCTGGGCAGGTAATTTAAAGAGTCTGGGCTCTGACTGCACCTGCTCTGGACACAGGAGGAAGGAAGTGGAAGAAAAGAGGTTGCAGCCAGGACAGATCAGCACGTGACAGATTCTCAATATGCTATAAGGTACTGAACCAATCTGATGGATCTAAATTAAACCCTACTGAATGAGGATCAGCACTTTTGGAGTACACAACATTATAAATGCAGTTGTGAAGATGTTGATGTGACACTGTATGTACCTACTGCAGTATGGAGGTGGGGAGGTTAATGAACTTCCTCTGTTATCAACATGTGGAGGTCACCCCCGTGGGGGGAAATGCACATACTTGTTCCAACTGGATTTATTTTGGATAAATAACCCTGGGCCTTCTTCCTGATCCAGCCCATGGATAGGCCCATAGGCCCATGGAGGGGAGGACTGGGAAGACTTGACCAACTAGGTCTCATAACACTGCGTGCTTGTTCTGATCTGAAGCTCCTACGACCTTGTAATCACAAGGCTGCCCCTTAGGCGAGGTATGAAAAGACCATCCTTGGCAGAGCTTAGGTGAGAGCTGAGGTGAACTCTATGAAGCTTATTAATCTGAGTGTGGGTTCATTCATGGTTTTCTCTGCGCTGCTGTCACCCGAAGAACGAAGTCCGTTGACATAGAAAGAGCCGGGTGGTGACTGATATCCATAGCAATGCTACTGCTCTCTGTCTCTGAAGGGAAGGCAAGCAGATGTCCCAGGGTATTTGTCTGTCCTAGGAATACCTCGGTCAGAAGGGAGAGAGGTGCATGTCTCCCCCTCAAGACAGGCAATAGCTGGGGAGCTGGAAGCCGAGCATGGGTGCCCTAGCCAATACCACTGAGATGAAAAGCCTTCAACTGTGATGTCTGCAGAACTCCACAGGGAGCACTGAAGCAAGGGGAAAAGCCAGGTTAACTGTGTGCCAGGGGGCAAAGCTGAGTAGGGGAACTCTAGGCAGCCTCCCATTAACCTCAGTGCCAGTACAGAACCCATTCTTGGGGGCCTGATTTGCTGCTGCCCCACACCTTGTGTAATCCCTTACACCTGAGCAACATGGAAGGTCAAACTCCACCACTGCATGGAATGGAGAATTCTGGGTTGATAGCTGTGGACGCCCACTTGGGTTAATCACTGCACAAGGTGCAGGAGAGGGAAGAGTCAGGGTCCAGAGGGGTTGGGGTGAATGATCATCATGAGCTGAGCAATTTCCAGAGCAGCAGTGACAGGACCTGTGAGCTCATGCAACCTCCCAGCACTCACTCCCTGGTGCTGTCAGGTCAGGTGCAATAGTGGAGGAAAGTGTCCTCCTCCTTCAGAGCAACAAGAAAGCAGTTTGGGGGTTGTTTGGGTTTTTTTGGGAGGGGGTCATCTGAATGCTGAACTTCTTAGGTGGTAACTGCTAATAATACCTGAGTCTGCAAGGCAAGTTTGATGAGAATTTATGGCTCATTGGGGACTGAGCCAAAGCAGCTGACCCCTAAAGACTCTTTTTACTTGGGAATATTGATTGGATTCAAACTCGGGCTGAGGAGGGCATCCAAGTTACATTATCTCCAAACCCAGTTAGACAGAACCAAAAACACAACCCAAAAGCAATTCCCACCTGACAGCTGACAGCCCCTTGGCTGGTTTTGTTGCCATGTCTGCAATCTAGAAATAAATCAGATAAAGAATTACTATTGCTGCCTTTCAAAGGAGGAGAAGGAGCAGAAATCAGGGGAATTAGGAATTTGATCCAAAGTCCACTGAAGCTTTGAATCAGGCCCTAGGCATGGGATCTTGGCCCTACTGAAGTCAATGACCAAATTCCTGTTGACTCCAATGGGAAAGGATTCATAGGTTTTAAGGCTAGAAGGGACTATTAGATCAACTACGGGATCTTTCAAAAAAGGGTTTTTTCCCCCCGAAAGAACCACGTCTAGACAGCGCTTTCACTTTTCAATCATAGAATCACAGAATACTAGGACTGGAAGGGACCTCGAGAGGTCATCGAGTCCAGTCCTCTGCCCTCATGGCAGGACCAAATACTGTCTAGACCATCCCGGATACACATTTATCCAACCTACTCTTAAATATCTCCACAGATGGGGATTCCACAACCTCCCTGGGCAATTTATTCCAATGTTTGACTACCCTGACAGTTAGGAACTTTTTCCTAATGTCCAGCCTAAACCTCCCTCACTGCAGTTTAAGCCCATGCTGCAGTTTAAGGGTTTTGAAAACCCCTTTTTCGAAAAAGCGCTCGGACGCCATTATGCTAATGAAGAGTGGGATATTTAAATCCCCACTTCATTCGCACTTTCTATTTGCCTAATTTACGTCCCTCTTTTAACAGAGGGATGTAGTTTAGACATACCCCTAGTCTGACCTCCTGGTAGCACCGGCCATAGAATTTCACCCGATTACCCCAGTATTGAGCTCATAACTTATATTTGACACAAGCTTATCTTCCAGAAAGGCATCCAGTCTAGATTTGAAGATACCAAGAATTGGCTACCCCATCACTTCCTTGGGCGGTTTCTTCCAGTGGCTAATCACCCTCTCTGGGAAAAGTCTATGCCTTCTTTTTAATTCAGATTAGTCTGGCTTTAACTTCTCACCACTGGTTCTTGTTACGTCTTTCTCCACTAGATTAAAGAGCCCTTTAGTACCCAGTGTTTTCTCCCCGTGATGGCGCTTATGCACCATAATCCAGCCACCTCTGCATCTTCATTTGGATATGTGAAAGGTTGAACTCTTTAAGGTTTTCACACTAAGGCATTTTCTTCAGCCCTCGAGTCATTATTGTAACCCTTCAGTTAATCATCATTTTATGATCCCCATAAGCAGCTGCTTGATAGGACCCCCAAAGGGGCATAAGGAGGGCACACAAATATGCCCTGGAGATGAGAATCAAAGCAGCAGCTCTAAGATTAAGCATATTGGCTCTTTTTATTTGAGGGGGGCCAATTGTGTGCTCAGGGCTGGAAAAGACAGGGGGAAAACACAGTCCCTACTCAAAGCAGTAATAAAACTGTATGGACAGATCCTCAACCAGCATAGCTCCATTGATGTTTCAGGGACATTGATGTCAATAGAGCTATGCCAATTTACAGCAGCCAAAGATGTGGCATGTATTAGGGATGTGAAAGTGTTAACGTGTACACAGTTAATCCATCATCAGTTAACCTTCATGGTTACACGCAGCCTCTCCCTCTCCCCCCTCCCTGCCCCTGCGGGCCAAACAGCTCTGTGGGAGCCGCTTTCCCCCACATGAAATTTTCAGCGGTTACATGTTTATCTAAATAAATGCATTTTAACATCCCTAGCCTATGCCATGCATAAGGTGATCAGAATACAGGTTTACCTCAAAGAAATACAAACCTTTTACATTCACCCCCTCCCCCCACCAAACACACACACAATTTTAGTGCTAGATTAGACTGAGTTTTTGAGGGCAAGAACCTTATCTTCTGACAAGTCTATAAAAGGCCAACCACTGTTTGGTGCTGTATGATTATCTATACATAATAAATGGTCATAACGGAGAATAAACACGTGTATAATAAATAATTACAGCATTTATTTCAGTGGTGGATTCATAGGACTTAAAGAAATCAATTTGATCTGATGCTGTTATCTATATAGTTGAGGGGCTCCAAAGGTGGGAGAACAGAAAGTTTCTCCTGGCTGGCTCTCCCAAGGAAAGCCCTATGGGCCTGTGTCAACAATGGGCAAAGCCAGCAGCATGTAAGGACACTGAGGCTATGTCTACACTCGCGTCTTCTTGCGCGAGTAATATGCAAATGAGGCTAAGCGTGGAATATCGCCGAGCCTCATTTGCATAACTAATGAGCTGCCATTTTTGCGGAAGAGGTTCTTGTGCAAGACGGAGCTGTCTACACTGCCCCATCTTGCACAAGAAAAAGCCTCTTGCGCAATGCCATTACACCTATTACTTGAGAGGAAGAACGGCATTGCGCAAGAGGGTTTTTCTTGTGCAAAAAGGGGCAGTGTAGACAGCTCCGTCTTGTGCAAGAACCTCTTCTCCAAAAATGGCGGCTCATTAGTTATGCAAATGAGGCTCGGCGATATTCCACGCTTAGCCTCATTTGCATATTACTCGCGCAAGAAGACGCGAGTATAGACATAGCCTGAGATGTGTCCTGCTCTCAGTGCCAGCAGTTCAGTTCCGCGGACATCACAGAATTTAGCCTGTGATAAAGCCGGCCCAGTGCCTGCAGCTTGAATGAGAGTATAAGGTGGACCCCAGGCTTAAGAAAAATAAACATCTTCTGAAGTGCGAAATTTGCATCTGTCCCTTCTGTATTGGAGGCAGCTGAACTGGATGGGGAAATGATGATCTCTGACTTTAAACCCTGCCCCCAGAGTTCTGTCTGGGTCATAAGCTCAAAGGAACAGTCAGCTTTTCCTAGCTGCTCCCATGTTTCTCTTTATGGCTGGCCTGATGTCTCCAGGACCAAGGCAGAGTAGGGCTTGCAGCCAAGGAGCCAAGCCGGCCCTAAAATTTACACGTGATGCTGAGAAGCACTGAACCCTGTCCTGTTCAGAGCTGCTCTCAAAGCTCTTCTGAGCACAGGCTTGCAAGCCAACACAGTACTTCATCATTCTTTTAAGGGAGACGATGACAAGAGATCTGTGTTGCCAACTCTTGGGATTTTATCACAAGCCTCGTGGCCAGTGTTCCCTGTAAGAGATTCAAATATGCCCCGCTGATTAGCAGAGCATCCACAGCGCCCAAAGCCAGCAGTGGGTCTTTCTGCTGATGGTGCACATCCGCACATGTCTGAGTGCACAATTTATTCCTCACATGGATAGAAAAAAATTAGAGGGAACATTGCTTGTGGTGCTTTTCATAAAGGCCCAGCTTCTTGAATCAAGAGATCTCATATGAGTTGCAGGTTTGGGGATGGAGGGCTTAAAGCAAGTTTCTAGTCTTTATGCTTGTGGGGAAAAGCTTGAGAAAGAGACCCAGATGCAGCTCAAAGGCTCCACAACCCCAAAAGACCATGAGAATTAACTTCAGAGGCAAACTGATTGTTTTACAAACAAATCTGGATTTTTAAAGCCACTGTTGTGATTTGGGGGAAGGGGGTTAATGCGCTGCTTTCAAATGCATGGGGGCTGGCAACACCGGAGTGAGAAGACTGAGGACTCCTAGGAAGAAGTGTATTTCTACACAAGGCCCGATTCTGATCACATTTACCCTAAGGTCAAATCTGGAGTAACTCCATTCAGTTCAACAGAGTTTCTTTGGCTTTATGTCGGTGATCAGAATCTGACCCTAAAATTAAGCTCCAAAGCCATTGCATCAATTCCCAAAACTGCAGAGAGACACTAGCTTAATTGTTTGTTCAGTTCAATTAAAACTAATGGGCCTTCTGTGTGGGTTTAGTAAAGACTTGTAATAACCAGGCTACTAACATTCCATTGATGTTTTTATTTGGTGCCTGCTCAAGAGTCTCTTTTTAACGTCACTGCTGTATAGAAGCTCAGACTCTCGGCTTCCTTATCTTCTCCGGTCAGTGGCCCAGCAGGCACCATCGTGCTCCCTTGCTGCAGCATTCGCCAGTTTAAACAATGCCCAGCCACACACATGCCATAAAATCTGCTAGTCCCTCTGCAGATTTCATGCCGCTCTCTGAGAAGTCAAGTTAACAGCATCTGAGAGCAATCAGACTCTGCAACTGCATCTGAGCGAGTGAATTAATGAACCCGTCACCTCGTCCCATCATCTCAGCCATTGCATTAACACTGTATTTACTCTTCACTTACTAAATGGGTCGTTAGGCTTCCCTCTGACTTGTGGACAAGTAAGCTGTATACGGACTTTTCCTTCACGGGGTGGCTAAAAATGGACTGTAATCCTGGGGAGGACTGCAGCTCAAAGACAAGGCTTTGTTGTGTTTCAGTCAATGTTAATTTGGAATACTCAGCAGGGTCCTGCAAAGAGAAAAACAGGCGGTTACATATTTTCTTCATGAGAGAAGAGATCAAGCTCTTCTTGGGGAACGGCAATCCCATTCCGACTTCCAGGAAAGTTGTAGAGGCCGATTGATGGGGGCTGGTATAGTAAGGTTATCAGCAAGCATCTCAGCCTTCTTGGTAACTGGCCTGTGTTGACCTATGTGGTTGGTAGTAGCCTGTTCAGAGCGATTCACTGCCCAGACCTTATTCTCTCTGCTCACTGCTACTGCAGGACAGATCTTCCCCTGGATTTGTTGCGCCACTCAACAAGCTCTCTAGCTACAAAGAAAATTATGGGTCGTCAGTGGCTGATGCATTACCATGCTGAACACCTAACAAAGCCGGTGCCCAATGCACTTGAGATCCTGCAAGGAGAGAGCGCTAAGCTGCCAGGATCAAGTTTAAATAACCTGTCTCCCTTCCCTTTCTTTTATTCTTTCTGGGTAAATACATGTAAATTCCAAAATCCATATCCCAGAAGTGACATTTTATTTACATCTAAGCAATGAGAGAGACAAACTGAATATGAGGTTGTTTTTTTCCTTCTGCACATGTTTATCCCAGGACAATTATCCTTTATTCCTAATTATAGGTGAATGCAATTAGCCATCTGTTCATCTTCTGCTTCAATGCAACTCAGAAAATCTCTGTTTAAATTTTGCCACCGATGACACAGTGTTCTGTCTCTAGAAGGTGGCCCTGTGCTTCTCTTTCCAGGCAGGGCTGACTCAGAGAGTGCAAGATAACAGATTTCAGAGTCTCGAAAAACATATGGGAGTGTGAATGCTTCCTCTTTCATGTGGGAGCCGCAGGGCCTGCCTGCCGAGATGACTCCTGAACTTTCAGTGCATTACGAAGTCCATGTACGATGAATGCAATTTAGGAGAATACAAATTTGGGCTAATATATGCTGCATACATTATTTGAGGTGCCATTACTCACCTACTGCCACTGTATCAGGGCTTCTTCTAGGCCTTTGACATCAGTGGAAAGAATCTTTTTGGTTTCAACTGACTTTGCCTCAGACCCTAACTGCCAAAATATATTCTTACCTGAAAGGCCTCCACGGGCTGCTGAAATAGGTCTTGGCCTTGGATTTTCACTTGAACTTTCTCATTTGCCAAATTCAGGACTTGAATTAAACTTTCTTTTGGTTCAAGTGGGGGCATTGCAGTTTCCTGATGAAAACAAAATGCTCTGTAAGTGCTTAGTTGTGTCCTTTATTATAGCTGCTTAATACCGCTCAACGTATAGCTTCTCTCTGCCACGACAACGGTGTCAGGTTGCCAGTTCCCCGTCCTCTCCTCGAGACAAGTTGGACTGTGAGACAGTTGATTATAACCCTAATTTAGGAAAAGTTGACTTAGTAGTAATTGTTTGTACAAGAACTCCTCCTAAACGGTAAGAGCGAAGGCCACCAAATTTGGCAGGAGCTTCCTCTTCTCCTAACTTAAAGCACGGGCAGGGTTTGGTTGTGCAAGACCAACCGGAAGCCCTGGGAAAAGGACAGTTTTCCATAATGCGCAAAGGGAGGGGCTGCTGTTCGAGGGACATGACATGAGAGTGGCCACTGGGGGCGCAGCGAGCCCTCAGAGGAAAGCCATCCTACTGGGTGGCCACTGGGGACAGCCACACCACCAAGGGAGTGGCCCTGGCTATGCCATTTTGCCTGCCACCAGAAAAGGGTAAGTGGGGCTTCCTGCCCAGGAGACAGCTCTTGCTGCCTCCCCCTCTCCCTTACCCTGGGAGGGGTCAGTGGGGAGAGAGAGCCCCCACCGACCCAGGAGGGGCTAGGGGAAGGGAGACAGCCCCTGTCAGCTTGGGAGGGACCAGGGGAAGGGGGAGAGAGCTCTTACTGGCACCAGTAAGGAGCATACCTGCTGACATTTTTTTAATAGGCCTGCAGAGTGAATGGAAGAGATTTCATTAATAAAAATGTAATGTAAAATGTGTAATACCAGCCCTTAAGGACCTGGGCAACACCGGGTAAGTCTGCTAGTCGGAAATAATTTGCGAGAACACACTTTTCAGAAACCTCCATCTGGCAGACATTATTTGCAGATCTAAAGCAAATCAGCACAGTCTGTTTTTAACTAGCACACCCTACTTTTCGGTGACTGCAAAGAACGCTGTCATGGCCGGGGTTGGTTCTGATTTTTTGGTCCGATGTTTAAATCAGATCTCTCTGACAGAGATGTGAATGACAAAACCACCTATGGGGTCTGTTCTTCACACAAGGGTGCAATTCCTCATTGGGAAATAACCACACACTGGGACTGATGCTCAGACAGAACTCTCATTGATTTCAGTGACAGAGTTTTGCCTTTGTCTAAGCAAGGGGTACAGAATGGGGAGGGAAAACAAACCCACAAAATCTCATTTCAGCAAGTGCTTTGAATGGCTTTATGAGAGGAGCAATAAATCAAAGTCCAGGTCTATGGGTCATAACAAGTTAGGGGTTACTCCATGATCAAAAACATCGAGGGTTGAGTCTTTTATCAGCCTCAGTGGAAATTTTTAAAAATGAATTTCTTATTAATTTTGTATAAAAAAGATCAACCTGTGTCTGCAAAGTACCAGCAACACACAGCCTAGAAACAACTAATAGTTGTATGACAAACATACAGAAATTGACAAACATACAGCCATTGGGGAGGGGGAGAAAAACCAACAGAAAATAGGACAGCCTTATCAGTTACAGATGACTGTAACTAAATAAACCTGAGTACATTCAAACCCATTTTTATTGAAAGAATTATCCATTCAAACAAATCTAAACTGAATGTAATCATGAGGAAATGAACAAAAACATCTCTACTTAAACACAGGTAGGTTAAAACAACAAAAGATAGGAAATGTTACCTATTTGGAAATAGCCACTAGTGTTAATTAGATGTTTATAAAGCACTTTGATGATAGAAAGCCCTATATACTATACTCCAATACAGATGATTGGTACTTCAGAATAGCAAAGATTAAAAGGAGGGAGAAACAGACAAGGTGATAAGTTATTAAAAGTGTTACAGTGTTTGTATATGAATCCATATCCAAACAATGCAAACAGCCCACGGGCATATGTTAATGAAGGAAATCAAGCTGTATAATGCGTTGCGAAGAGTATTCTCCAATGGACATTAATAAAATAGGCCTACAGAAGCTATGTATCTATGTGGATTTGTGGGTATCTTCGCATGTGCAACTGCTTCATACTTACATTTACTTTGACTTCTACAACGGCTGCTGCTGCAAACGCCAGAGCTGCAAGGAGCATACCTGCTGACATTTTTTTAATAGGCCTGCAGAGAGAATGGAAGAGATTTCATTAATAAAAATGTAATGTAAAATGTGTAATACCATCCCTCCTAGTTAAAGATATTCCAAAGTCGTGTATTAAACTGTCGAAACAGGTGGCATTGTGGATGATGTGCTATTGAAATTGGCAATCATGTTATTTCAAACTATTCTAATATACAGTACAAGGCCAGCACTGAAGCCAATTAAAATTGATATGCCATAAAAAACCTCTTTGCTTGCAGGTTTCATATTATTTAGTTCCTCGCTCTTCTAGTGGGAATAGATTTTGGCATTATGTTAACTTGTAATGTTGGAAGAAGCACCACAAATGATCTATCTTCAAGTCCTTTTGAGGAAAGAGAAAAATGTAGCAGGCTCTTTAGCTGCAGACTTCAAGAACAAAAATATAGTTTGCCTCATCAAAACTTCCAACCATTTGCATCATCTGTGCTGTTATTGCTCATGCAAACACATTTAGAATCTGATTCAGACCTGGCTTGCTGTACTTTGTGTAAACTGAAAGTAACTTCCCCAGTGTCACAGAAGTTCTGCTGACGTGACCAGTTAAAGTGAGATCTGAAGTCAGGTCCAGGCTGAATATTTAAATTGGTGCAAGTCTCAAACCAAGCCAACTCTGGACGCTTAGCCTTTTCAATATCCAAACGTGGCTCTATATCCAAATAACGCACAGGGTCCTAGAATGTTGGGCTGTTGGAATTCCAGTGATGGAGTCAAATTCTCAAGTTGGAGCCTGTCTCTCAGGTAAGTGAATCTGGATAACAAAAAACACTTGCTGACTCTTTATGCTATTGTAAAAGATTAACCCATTTTGGTCCTGATCCTGCGTTACGCTCTAGCAATGCAGACCTCTGCAGCCTGGTGGAATCCTTTTGGGACCTTGCACAATGCAGGGCAGGTACTAGCAGATGTTAGTGCAAGACAAGGTATTGGTTTGTCAAGACCCATGTCTTGGGAAGGGAAAGTGAGTTTCACTCCAATTTAATAGGATTCTTGTTAGCGACAATAGGACACTAAGATGGAGCAGGGTCCGGAGCATGGGCCTTTCTACCCTCTGTTTGTGGCATGACATTTAATCCGCATGTCAATTAAGGACTCGGGGATAGAGTGGCTGAAGAACCTGTTATAATGTGGCTTCCAGGGTAAGGCTCTTTGAGGCTGGGCAGAGGAGCGCTGCTCCAAGGTGCACGCCAGAGGACATCGTGTCTCAGGAAGGCAAAATGCTTCCTACCACTCTGAGGTGCATCTGGGGGTGTGAGGCCGTGACACCGCTTGGCAAGTGGGCACGGCTTCTAGCCCTCTCTGTACGTTGCCACACAAGCTGCTTGCTCACTCAGGGCCGGATCCAAGGGCCACCGAAGTTTGTGGAAGAGTCCTGAACACACGGACTGCCAATGAGGTTAGCTCCCTTCCTTCCTGGAAGGGCCGAAGTGGGGAAAGTCTCCATCAGGCCCTAAAACAGGAGGGTGATTGTGCAGAGTTGGGCAAGAGATTGCAACGAGGAGATCTGGGATGAAATGAAGAAAGGGAGAGATGAGACTGACTGCCAGGGAAAATTCACTGTCAGTGAGTTCTGCCAGCACCTGAGACACTCTGCCAAAACTCAGGGAATCCCCATTACATGAGACATTTACACTGGACTAGACAAAGCTCAGTTGGGAGCAATCTGCACCCTCAGTAAGGAACCACCCCTAGTACGGAGCAGGAAGAGCCAACTTAAATGGTCTTTTCCCTCTCTAACGTCCCTGGACTAGCTGCCAAATGCTCCAGGACAGAGGCTAAGTTAGAAGCAAGAATAGGTACGCAATGAATGGAAGCTCATATATCTCATCGGCTCAGATACATTTATTTTTCAAGGGGTAAAAAAAGCTGCGAAGGAATACAAAGCTGGCTGTGTGCACTGCCCCCAATACTCACGTGAAGTTAAATCTGCACTTTCTGATCAGGGGGTAGACGACAAAATCGAAAATGGGGATGAAGATCAAAATCAGGAGTGGGTTCAAGAACTGCAACACCAACGAATGGGCAAGATTAGGCAATACAAAGTGACTTACAGTAATTAAACCCATAACACTGAACTGATGCCATTATAGGAATGACACAAGCCCCCATCACTCAAAACCCCCCTCAGCAATGTAATTGTACTTTGCACTTCAATAGCTTGATCGATTTAAGGTTCACACAGACATGAATATATTCATCCTTACAACACCCCAGGAGATGAGCCCAGCGTTCCAGATGGGGAAGCTGAGGCAGAACATTTTTATGTGCGCAAGGAAACATGCTGATCACAGAGATGGGGGGGATTTCCAAAGGTTCAGAGCTCTGTTTAGGGAATCGCCCCCAACATTCAGCTGCTTAATCAGCAATGCTGCAAAAATTTTGGCTTTTCAATATTAGGCTAAAAAACCTCAAGAAGAGAGAGACTTTGTGAAATTTCCAACACAGCCTGCTTCCCATCTGCTCAGAAGTCTCCTAGGAGCAGCTGCTCTTCTGGAAAGAGAGAGGACTTGGAATTTCTTTGAAGTAGCTCAGTCACTCCTAGAGAGCCCACAAGTGCTGTAATCGGCTTAAAACTTCCCCTTTCTGGCAGGGAGGAGTGAGAATGTATGGCTGCTGCAGAGATGCTGAGTGCAGCCAAGGGATCAGGGGAAAGGAGATGTGGCTTGTGCCTTTTTTTAGGTGGGGATTGTTGGGGGCTAGTCCCACCATCAGTGCTTGTTGGAGCAGCTCAGGGACCCAATAGGACCTTGGCTGCAAAGCCCCTGAGGAACCATTATGATGAGGCAGCGAAGAGAGAAAAGCCAGGGCCCCACATCTCACCCCCAATCCACGCCCTTGACACACTGTCTGCAGTTGAGGTGGGGAGTAGCCGCTCTCCACTGGTTAGCAAAACCTTCTGTGCTCACCCACATTATGCCAGCATAACACGGCTGCAGCACAATCATTTGGTCTTGCCTCAGAGCAGGAGGCTGGACTTGATGACCTCTTGAGGCCCCTTCCAGCCCGACATTCCTGTGACTCTATGAATTCCCGCTGAAGTGCCTTGTTTCACAGGAACTCAGCAAAATTCACCTGACAGGGCAGGAAATCCCCCCACAGAGCTAGGGGGAGATTGAAGGCCAGAGAACTAAGTTTCACCAAATTCATAGCAAATTACGGAGTTGATCCTGCACCACTAAAGTCAATAGGAATGTTGCATTGTCTTTTAGTGAGAGCAGGACTTGACCGTGTGGGTGCATCTACACTGCACCCATAGCTCGAAATAAGCTACATACTTTGAGCTATGCATTGTGTAGCTTATTTTGAGTCAATTTCAAAATAGCTTATTCAAAATTTAGTGCTGTCTACACAGCACTTCTTTTGAAATAAATCACTATTCCGAAACGTCCCTTCCTCCTTGTGGAATGAGGTTTGCAGGGACGTCAGAATAGCAAGCCCGTTATATTTAGAAATAACGGGTGCATTTAAAAGATGTGGAATAGCTATTTCGGGACACCCCTGGTATCCTGAAATAGCGCTGCAGCATAGACGTAGCCTGAGTGAAATATGAATAAAAAAGACAGGACATTTACGAGGACCATGCTTCTTTTACCTGCATTTGGTCTGGCTGAAAGACTACACCTCCCTGAAATATACAGACATTCAAACTGATTAGTAAACACAACACAACACCATGTTTATCGAGAGCAACTAAGCCAACAGCCCATAACGCAGCCCTGGGTAGCTGAACTGGCTTTGAGTGCTTTCCCTTTTTGCTTGAACGCTGGATGCTTTGTTCTCCCTGATATTTCTCTTCTCAGGAAGTGGTTTGAACTGAATCCCTTTACAGAAGGGACATGAAGCCCTGGATGGCAGGCAACTGTGTGAGAGCCAATCCCTAGAAGCTGTTTGATAACGGTGGAAGCTAATGCCCCTATAGTTCTAAACTTGGTAGGGAAGGAAGAATGGACATTTTGGAATCCAGATTTAAATTCAAATGTTGAGCTTCCCCCCATCATCCATAATGGAATGAACCAAAATGGCAGACAGCAGACTCTGAGAGAGTTAAAATTGCTGTGCACACAGTTACAAAGCTAACTATCCTGTAGCAGGGAAATGCCCCCTCCTCCCATCAGTTTGTAGACGGTGTGCTAATCTGTCATTAAAAAATAAGAGCCGACGCGTATTTCAACTCACACAGGAATAGATATGACTTTCCTTTCTCTTATTAGTGCTCTCTCCTTACTGAAGGAGAATGCTTGACTGGGGGACCAAGGGAGTTATTACACAGAGTAATGCTAAGAAAGCCTTACAAAGGCAGTTTCCCCTTGAGGTGCACAGAGGAAGTGGGACAGATTGATATACAATCCAAAAATCCATAGGAAA